CATTTACTCAGTTAATGAAGAGTGGCCATATCACCATGACAGGAAAAATCCTTTTGTTTTATGAAATCTTTCGGGCCTCCTGCATGAATCTTAGCCTCCCATTAGCTCACATTCTATTATTGGAATTCCTCTAGTTTTCAAAATATTATCAAATGCTTTTCTACTTTATTTTATGCTTTTTGAATACTGTCCCCTCAATTTGTCATGAATATGATTATATTCTGTCTTGTAAATTCTAGGATGTAAGTTTATTCTTTTACCCTAACATATATGTTATGTATTGAATTTATGTGATTTGATTTATGATGGTCTTATTTAAGCTATTGCCATAGTATATATAATTATAGTCTGTGTAAATAAAACCGTTGGTTTAAATTTACTAAATCACTGCTTAAAACATGTCCATTTATCATACGTACCATATATTCTCCTGAGAATGGCCATCTGGAATACAGATTAACATTGGGATTCTAGAATGGCAAAATATACTACTTAAATTTATGCACACTTTGAGTTTAGTAGTGTGTAAGAAATGCAGAAGACAGGATTAGTGGACTAGAAAGCAAATCATTAGTAAAAAATCTGAACTGAATCACCAAGCTTATAAAAGGATAAGGAAGGAAAAAATAATAGAACCATGTGGAACAAAGTGAAACCGACTTACACACATGTAGATAGAGGCCCAAGGGGAAAGAAAAAAGAAGGACCAGGAAGTTAGGAGATGATTGCCAGAGGGAGAGGGAGAGGAAATCCCAAGCAGACTCCATGGAGCCAACTTGGGGCTCAATCTTACAACCCTGAGATCACACACTGAGCTGAAACCAAGAGTCAGACACCCAGCCAACTGCATCACCCAGGCACCCCTATATTTATATTTTTGACTTGTAATTTTGAAGTACCCTCAAGTGTGAAGAGAACATATTTTCCTGCCGCAATGATGTTAGTGCCTTGGTGTGATTTACAGTGGTTAATGTCTCACATAATTTATGTAATTCTGCTAAGATGTAAATGTGGTTATATAGTTTAGTTTGTCTTCTTGATATCTACCACAGGAGAACATACCTTGAGTAGCTGTTTCAGAAAAACAGATACAAGTGCAATGGACTTGACCAGACCTGCAGTCTGGATATAAGGATACTGAATTCCATCAGTATCCTCCAGACCTTAGATGAACACTGAGACCTACTTAGTCATAAACAAAAAAATAAAGGCCTTTATAATGTGATGAATTTGGTTTTTAGCCAAAAAAAAATTAGAGATATTTGTTATAAGAGTTGGGATGTTACTCTTTTACCACAAACGATGTGCATTGGCTTTGGGACCAAGCAGAGGGAAGTAATACAACCTTTATAAGAGGATGTAAACAGAGCAACATAGAGTATGAATATTTAGTCCAATTTATACCTATGGTAATCTAGTAGTGATAACCTGTACTTGTACACAAGAGAGTTGAGGCAAAATATTAATACTGGTACTTGTGTGTATGGTATCTGTATTTTTTAAAGGAATAGAAAGAGAAATGTACTAGCAGAGAACTGACTGGCACTCTAAGAATAATATGAAGTCAATAGATACCAGAAATCCTAGGATTTTCTGAGTTAGAAAATGAACTAGCTCTCACCAAGTAAAGCTCTGCCCATTACATCACCAACTCAGGAAAAAATCTGAATTTAGTGTCTGCCCTTACTTCATAGTCTTTTTTTTTTTTTAAGATTTTATTTATACATGAGAGACCCAAAGAGCGAGAGCGAGACAGTGAGAGCAAGAGAGAGAGAGAGAGAGAGAGAGAGAGAGGCAGAGACACAGGCAGAGGGAGAAGCAGGCTCCATGAAGGGAGCCCGAGGTGGGACTTGATCCCAAGACTTCAGGATCATGCCCTGGGCCAAAGGCAGGCACTAAACCGCTGAGCCACCCAGGGATTCCCCCAGAGTCTTAGGACAGAAATCACAGCAAGGCCCTGGTCATTAAGACTAATAGATACTCTTTCATTGGACTAATGTGTCCGCAACCCAGACTCAACCTATGAAGACTTGATCAATAAAATTGAGACCACCGTTCCTCCTTCTGTGCTCAACCGGAATCGATTTACAGAGGATTCTCTCCTTCGACATGCCCAGTTTGTGGTAGAACAAGTAGAGAGTTATGATGAGGCTGGGGACAGTGATGAGCAGCCCATTTTTCTGACACCCTGCATGAGAGACCTGATCAAGTTGGCTGGGGTCACCCTAGGAAAAAGGCGAGCTGAAAGATGTCAGACCATCAGGCATTCTGCCAAAGAGAAGGACAAAGGCCCCACTAAAGCCACCACTACCAAGCTGGTGTACCAGATCTTTGACACTTTCTTCGCAGAGCAAATTGAAAAGGATGACAAAGAAGACAAGGAGAATGCCTTCAAATGGCGGCAGTGTGGCGTCTGTGAGGTTTGTCAACAGCCCGAATGTGGGCAGTGTAAAGCCTGGAAAGATATGGTTAAGTTTGGTGGTAGCGGATGGAGCAAACAGGCTTGCCAGGAGAGGAGGTGCCTCAATATGGCCACGAAGGAGGCAGATGATGATGAAGAAGTCGATGACAATATTCCAGAGATGCCATCACCCAAAAAAATGCACCAGGGTTAGAAAAAGAAACAGAACAAGAATCAGATCTCTTGGGTTGGAGATGCTGTCAAGACTGATGGGAAGAAGGATTACTATAAGAAGGTTTGCATCGATTCAGAAACCCTGGAAGTGGGAGACTGTGTCTCTGTTATTCCAGATGACTCTTCAAAACTGCTGTATCTAGCAAGGGTCACTGTGCTGTGGGAAGACAGTAGCAACGGGCAGATGTTTCATGCCCACTGGTTCTGTGCTGGGACAGACACAGTCCTTGGAGCCACATCAGACCCCTTGGAGCTTTTCCTGGTAGATGAATGTGAGGACATGCAGCTGTCATACATCCATAGCAAGGTGAAGGTCATCTATAAAGCTCCATCAGAAAACTGGGCCTTGGAGGGAGGCATGGATCCCGAGGCTCTGATAACAGAGGACGACGGAAAGACCTACTTCTACCAGCTGTGGTATGATCAAGACTATGCGAGATTTGAGTCCCCTCCGAAAACCCAGCCAACGGAGGATAACAAGTACAAGTTCTGTGTAAGCTGTGCCTGTCTGGCTGAATTGAGGCAAAAAGAAATTCCAAGGGTCCTGGAACAGCTTGAAGACCTGGACAACCAGGTTCTATACAGCTCAGCCACCAAGAACGGCATCCAGTATCGAGTGGGTGATGGCGTGTACCTCCTCCCCGAGGCCTTCACGTTCAACATCAAGCTGTCCAGTCCCGTGAAACGCCCACGAAAGGAGCCTGTGGATGAAGATCTATATCCAGAACACTACCGGAAATACTCTGATTACGTCAAAGGCAGTAACCTGGATGCCCCTGAGCCATATCGAATTGGCCGAATAAAAGAAATCTTCTGTACCAAGAAGAGAAATAGGAGGCCTAATGAAACCAACATCAAGATCAGAATCAATCAATAATAGAGAAATCTCAAAAATTTGGGGCCCGGTATAAGATGACATCACAAAATTGGCCCAGTGGGATTCCTTCCTTGGCAATTTTTAATGGGAGGATTCAATGCAGTTATGCTTCCCTGTTCCACTATTGTATACATTATGCATTTTAGCAGAAAACATAACTAGGGTTTGATTTCATAGATTTCTGGGTTAAGAAGATTCACTTCATACTCTAATAAAAATCACTAGGAAGTTAATGAGGATACTGAAATTGATTTTGAGGCAGCAAAACACAGTCATTTTAAGCCATTATTGTAGTGGGGACATGTTATAAAAATGCCTGTGAGAACAGGTTTCCAAGCTTGTTATGATAACATATAGGCTTGGGAGCAGTTTGTAGATGCTATTTGAAACCACAAGACAGCAAAAAATCAGCAGTGGATAAGGAATTGATATGGTCCAAAGGCTGAACCCTGGGGCATTTCAGGCCAAGTAAGAGATAAGAAGAAAAATGCCCAGTAGTTTGAGATCAGGTTTACTGATATAGGAGGAAATTAAAAACATTAAGGATAATAGACAGTAATTGAAGAAGATGCTGTAAAGGGAAGAAGGTAGTTAACTGAATCAATTTGGTATGCCAACTAAGGTGAGTGACGAGAAACTCACACCATTATACTTAGCAACATGAAAGTCACTGTCAGTTGTCATATTGATCAATTTCAACAAAAATCAGTTTCAGTGGAGGCTAAGGGAAGAAAACATAATTGGGTGGTGGTTTGGTCAACAAAGGATAAAGGCGGCAGGAGAACTGAAGGTATAAAAAAAGATGTTATTCTCATGATTTACCATGAAGTTTAATCCAGATCAGAAATAAAGATAAAAGAGGGGTTGGCACAGAGAAAGGCTGGTATAATCAATGGAGTTTTGGTCTTGTTAAGGTTGAAGTTGTTTCTGCAGATATGATGAGATAATGAGAAAAGGCAGTAATCAAGAAATAAGAGAACTAACGAGCTATGACTACTAAATGTAGGCGGAATGGGGTCCATGAAGAAAAAAAAAATAAGTATTAGATAAAAACTAAATATATACGGGATGCCAGGATGGCTTAGTCAGTTAAGCATCAGACTCCTCATTTTAGCTCAGGCCATGATCTCTCTGCTTGAGACTCTCTCTCCCTCTCCATTTGCCCCTCCCCCTACTTGTGCTCTCTTTCTCCTTCTCAAAAATAAAAATACAATCTTCAAAAAGACCTAAGACATATAGATTATGTATGGCCTTTATTTAATAATGTGCAAATATTGTCTTATTAATTGTAACAAATATGCCATCCTAATAGAAGATGTTAATCATGTTGGAACAGAGTTTGAGATAATCTGAAAACTCTGTACTATCTTTTAAATTCTTCTATAAATCTAAAATAATTATAAAATTTTTTAAGTGTTTACTAAAATCGTAGGATACTTGAAACTAGGATATTGACTTTTCAGTTATTGGTAATAATGACATGGTCTGGGTGAGAGTGTAAGAGTGAGTGGCTAAAATGGAATGGAAGAGAATTCAGTGTTTAAGTTGTCAAGGAGCTCAGAGGCCAATTAATTTGAGTAACAATTAAATAGAAACTTTTTTTTTTTTCAAGAAATGAATGGGGACAACTAAATTTCTTTAGATGCATCAGTGATGGTATTTCAAACATGCGATTGGAAGACATTGTTTATTGACAGAATTAAAACAGGGAATAGAAGAGTTCCAGGACCAAGCTTCAAGCTGTGCTAATTAATAATTAGAGGTGAAGAAGAAAAGTAGAAAGAACCTCAGAAGAATGGATACTGAAGTAATAAAAAATTGATTAGAATATGCCCTCAATGGGGCACCTGGTTGGCACTGGACTCTTAGTTTTGGCTCAGGTCGTGATTTCAGGGCAGTGAGATCAAGCCCTGCTCAGGCTTCAAGCTCAGTGTGAAGTCTCTTTGAGTTTCCCTCTCCCCTCAACCCCAGTCTCTCTGCCTCTCTTTCCTCCATATCCTCCCCTCTTCCACTCAAATAAACAGATTTAAAACAACAACAACAACAACAAAAACCGCCCTCGTGCTGTAGCCCTCACGTGATACATTTTATCTGCATGGAGTAAAGTCTTGATTAAATTCAATACCCTAGCATTACTTTCACACAAAACTAAATGCTGGTGGAAGGAAACAGTCATGCCATCTCCATACTCTCTAATTCACAAACACAGATTCTGAGAAACTGGTCAGTAGGAAGCACCAGGAATCTGTCTCCTCTGTCAGAAAACAATTACACTGGCAAAATCTCACACCTGCAACTATTTTGGAACTCTGCAGGCTACTCAAGGCTTGCAACTCCTAGAGGAAGTTTGCACCAAATTGCAGCTAATTTTGGTCAATTTTTGGTCTTAATAAGGTAGCATCTCCCCATTCTCCACCTCTCAGACCTGGCCTAGGGGGCCATGCACAGCACAAAGATACTGTTCTCAAAACAATGCGGTATAGGAAGAAAGACCTAGAGAACAATGGAATAGAAAACACAGCAATAAATCTTTGCATATACTGTCAAATGGTTTTTGACAAAGATGCCAAGACCTTTCAATGGTGAGAGGATACTTTTTAATACATAGTGCTGGGAAATTGGATACCCACATTCAAAAGAATCAAGTTGAACCCTTACCTAACACTATATAAAAAATTAACTCAAAATGAGTCAAAGACCTAAATTTAAGACCTATAATTATGAAATTCTGAGAGAACAAGAGGCAAAAATCTTTACAACACTGGATCTAGCATAGATTTCATGAATTGGACATTAACGGTGCAATTAACAGAAGGAATTGGACTTTGTGAATTTTGTTTTTTAATCGTGCATTTTTTTCTATCAATGGAATGAAAGGACAATACACAGAATGGGAGAAAGTGTTTGTAAATCACATGTCTGATAAAGGATGAACACCCAAATATAGAGAATTCCTAAAACTCAACAGTGATAGACAACCCAATTTAAAAATTGGTAAAGGACTCGAATAGACATTTCTCCAAAGAACAAATATAATCTGGCCAATAAATACATGAAAAGGTGCTCATTCATTCATCATTGTGAAAATGCAAACCAAAACTACAATAAGGTAGCACCAGCAAGGAATATTAGCCTTAAACAGAAAGGACATTCTGACATATGCTATAACATGGATGAACCTGAAGACATTATGCTAAGTAATAGAAGCCTGTCAGAGAAAGATAAATACTGCATGGTTCCAATTCTATGAGGTACTTAAAATAGGCTAAACCACAGAGACAGAAAGGAGAATGGTGGTTGCCTGGGGCTGGAGAAGAGACCGGGAAGTTATTGTCTAATGGGTATAGAATTTGAGTTTTCAAGTTGAAAAAATAATTCTAGAGATAGTGCTGATGGTAGCACATTATGAATCTATTTAATTCCATTGGACTGTACATTTAAAATGGTTAACATGCTAAAATTTTACTTATTTAAGTGCACATACACATGTGTATATGTATTTGTGCACGTATTTTGTTCCTTGGCATCTCTTCAGCACTTAGAACAGTACCTAACGCTTAATTAGTCTTATAAATTGCATGTATAAATAAAAACTTGAGCTGGCTGGTGTTACAGAAACCAAAACGGTAATCCCAATTAGGAAGGAGCTATCAAACAAGGGTTTAAGCAAACTAAGACAAGGATATTTTTGTTATATATCACAATATACTTGCTGTCGTTTGGGCAAAACAGTGCCCAGGGAGTGAAGTTCATGGCAACTTACCTGGTATGTTGGATGGACCTGAAAGGGGGGGGGGAGAGATGCCAAAATAGATCCTTATCAAGACAATTTAAAAAATAAGTTTTACTGTGAAAAGAAGCAGAAAATTGGGACAGTAGCTAAAAGGTTATGTAGAGTTGATAAATTTTTGTTCTAAAATCCTAGGGGACTTCTGAGGAAGATAGTGGAGTAGGAGAATCCTAAACTCACCTCCTCCCACAAATACATCTAGTTAGCACTCACATCAGTGTAAATAACCTAGAAAATTACCTGAAGATTGGTAGAACAGACTCCCTAGTTCATCACAGAGAAGAGGCCACATAGAAAATGGTAGGAAGGGCAAAGAGGCAGGTAGGGAACAAACTGACCAGACTGTCTTGGGAGGAGAGACCATAGGGACAGAGAGGAGCAGACTCCATCGCAGGCACCCCAAAGTTTCCAAGGCACCGGAAGACAAATCCCTGCAATATTTGGCTTTGAAAACCAAAGGGGCTTAACGTTGCCAGGTTGGGGTTTTTTTGTTTTGTTTTGTTTTGTTTTGTTTTTATAATCAGTGGTATTTAACACCTGGAACTTTAAAAATTAGCAGCTAGGCTCTGGGAAAGTCAGAGGGCAATAGGAAACAGAGCCTCCACCCTTAGAGAGACAGCATAACAAACCACCCCACTGAGATACAACATAGAAGCCGCAGATTATAAAATATATGAGGTATACAGGAAGATTTATTTATTAACATCCCAACATGTGCTGGAGGGATCTTTAGAAAACTCTCCAAGAATAAGAAGGCTGACATGGCCTATTTCCCTCCCCAACTTTCCAGCCTAGATGTATAAACACCTGCAAGAACTAGCATGAACATTCTCCACCCAGCTTGCTGACAGTGCCCCATCACCTGCCCTAGCTTACTCCTGAGGTCTCCTGTCAAAGCCACCCTTGGCAGTTCTCCAAAATGGCTACAGGTTCTCCCCTATCCAGCAGATCCACACACACAAAAAAATTAACACCTTAAAACCCACCCCTGCTTTCTCCTACAGACCTCCCACGCATAAAAGTTTCCGAGGTACTTCAGGTCTCCTCCACAGCAGTGCAAAACTTGCTAACGGCACATATCCATTTTGCATTCTCCTGCAAACACACTCTTGGCAGAAGTTCATCCAAAGCAGCTCCATAAGTATGGCATCATGCAAGCATCCCCTACAGTGGCCAGCATCACTCCCAAGTGACTGCTGCCCTGGGAAGAGGGGAAGATAATCAGACAGACCA